ACTTGGAAGTGTTGGGGATCGGAGAGAGAATGCGCGAATGGATAGGTAAACTATATAAGGAGCCCACTGCAATCATCACGGTAAACGGGGAAAGATCGGAATCCATTGGGATGTCCAATGGAACAAGGCAAGGATGCCCATTGTCCCCCTTGCTGTATGTATTGACATTGGAACCCCTGCTATCAATAATAAAGGAATAGTGGAGCGGTAAGGGGAATCCAGATAGAAAATATAGAACATAAAGTAGCGGCCTTTGCGGACGACCTACTGTTTTATGTAGGCAACCCCCGAATAACACTACCAAATATTATGAAGATCCTGAAGGAATACGGTGAATTATCTAATCTAAAAATTAACCCAACAAAAACTGAGATTTTGAACATTAATATACCAAAGAGCGAAAAAGAAAAGCTACAAAAAGAATTCCCCTTTATTTGGAGAGAAAACGATATAAAATACCTAGGAATAAAACTTGCTACCTCATATAAAAAACTGTATAGATTAAATTATATCTCTCTGATAAATGAGATTAAGGACGAACTAAAAAGATTAGAAGGAGGAAATCCATCATGGTTAGGACGTATGAACCTAATTAAAATGGTAATTATACCTAAAATACTCTATAGATTTCAAATGATCCCGATCAAACTCCCAGAGGCGTTTTTTAAGATAATGAGAAAAATGTTAACAAGATTTATATGGAGGAATAAAAAACCAAGAGTATCATATGAAACACTAAGTAGGACTAAAGAGAAAGGGGGGATGGGACTACCTGATGTCAAGAGATATTACAAAGCAGTAATGTTAGCAAGAATTTATGACTGGACTTTTAATCACAAGAGGAAAATTTGGGTAAAAATGGAAAATGATCTGAGTGGAATTAATTTGAGTAAGATGATATGGGTTCCAGCACATTATAGAGGAATTAAAGAGGACACAAGCACTTACACCTTAACTGTCTTAAGGATATGGGATAACTTACATAAACACATGAAATGGGAATTCAACTCTATACTAATGCCTCTTGCAAACACGGAGTTTTTCCCCCCAGGAAAAGATGAGATATCAGGGAGATGGTTTAAAAAGGAAGATATCCAATTGAGAGACATATTGATAGAGGGGGAATTGAGAACACTTAAAGAATTAAAAGAGAAGGGAGGAGATATGTTTACTAAAATAGATGAATGGAAATATCATCAATTAAAATGTTTTATAGGAGCTCTCCCAAAACCCTTGAGATTAAAAAAGGAGTGGAATATGTTTGAAAGGTTATTAGAAATACGTAGAGATGGGAAACACGGTGTTACAAAAATGTATAGAATACTTACAGAACTAGACACAGACACAAAGTTAATTTTTATAACAAATTGGGAAAGAGATATGGGGGTGGGGATAGATGAAGAGCAACAGAATAAGATATTTAGATTAGTTCACGAGAATGTTAGTATGAGAGACGTTGAGATTAACTATAAATGTCTGACACGATGGCATATTACACCGAGCACTGAGCACAGGATGAGGGGGGAGAATTCAAAAATGTGTTGGAGAGGATGTGGGGAAGAGGGCACGGTGTTTCACATATGGTGGCAATGTCCAAAAATTCAGGTTTTCTGGAAGACAATAGTCAAATTAATAGAAATAATAACTGGAAATGACATAGGATTAGACCCAACCATGTGTCTCCTACATAGTGTAGAGACAACAGTAAATAAATATAAAGAATCAGGAGTATGGTACTACCTAAGTGCAGCAAAAGGGTTGATCCCCAAATTTTGGTGGAAGACAGAGGTACCAACGGAGGAGGATTGGATCAATAGGGTAAACCAGATTAGCAGAATGGAAAAATCTTATCATATGCAGGAAGACAGGATGAAAATATACTATTCACGATGGGAAAAATGGGAAAAATCGGGATTAAAAGAGAAATATAGAAAACTCTAAACTAGGAAGCTATTCAAAGTTGTAGGGCCTAGAGAGACGGAAGATTTTGCAGAGGGGAGGGAGGGGGGGGGGAAATGGTGGGTTGGGAGGGAAGGGAAATAAAAGAGGTAAATAGAAGGGACAAAGTAGAAATGTACTGATATTTATAAGTATTGTGTCTCTTAAAAATGTGAGGGGTGTACTCACTTCTGGGAGACAATAGATAGATAGATAGATAGATAGATAGATAGATAGATAGATAGATAAATATTCTGGGGGATTACGCTCACACTGGGTGGCATGTGAAATCAAGGTCAGTCTTTATTTTTCAAATAATAACAAAAAAAGCTTTCTGGCAGCAAAAAGAAATAAAATTGTCCCAGCAGCAGGATGATAGTCCTTCACACTAAAATAATCTTTGTGGCTTACCGCCATCCACAGAGTAGGTCACTCCACAGCACTGTCACTCCAGGGCTGTGTGCTCGCCTTCCTCTGAGGGTTAAACACAGCGCTTAGCCACTCTGTCAAAATTGGCTCAGTAGTTTAGGAGCAGACACACCTCAGCCACGTGTCTTCCTACACACAGCTCACACAGCCCCCCTGCTAGGTGAAGGCTATGCCCTTAACATACCTCTCCTCCAGGATGAGGCCATTAATCCTTTATCTCCAGGGGTGAGAGGTTGGAGACTCATCCCTCCCATTAACTCTTAAAGTCCACAGACTCCAGGGACCCACAACAAAAAAAAACAGGAGAAACTGCTAACCAATTTCCCCTCATGACGGCATTTCCCTGCAATCTCTCAGCAATGGCTGAGAACCTCTCAAAAGGAACAAAAATAACGCCCCTCCACGATGCATCCTTGACGCCTTCTACATTTCCCCCCTCCTTTTCCTCACACTGGGGGTTGGGGGACACTGTATAACAACCTACAATGAATTCTGGAGAGAGCATCAGCATTAAGGTGCTCCTTCCCTGGCCTGTGTTCCACCACAAACTTATATTCCTGAAGTGCCTGTCTTGTCACTTTTGCATTCTGTCTCATCCAGGTCAATAGGGTGTGGTCTGATACCAGACGGAACTTTCTCCCAAGCAGAAAATAGTTCAAGTAGTCTACGGCCCACTTAATCGCCAGGCACTCATGCTCCACCTCAGCATAGTTCCTTTCTGCCTGCAATAATTTCCTGCTCAGGAAAGCCACTGGTTGTTCCTCACCATTCACCTCTTGAGACAGAACAGCCCGTAGTCCCTCACTGGAGGCATCTGTTTGGACAATAAACTCTTCTGAGAAATCAGGGGCAATCAGCACAGAATATTGTCATAACATAGCTTTCAGCTACTGAAAGGCTTTTTCTGCCCTGTTGTTCCACTGAACCATGACTGACTTTTTCCCTTTTGTCAGGTCAGTCAATGGGGCAGCTATCATGGCAAAATTGGGCACAAACTGCTGGTAAAAACCCACTATGCCCAGTAATGGACGCACCTGCTTCTTGGTGGCTGGGCGGGGCAGAGCCTGGACAGCCTCCACTTTGTTCACTTGAGTTTTTACCAACCCTCTACCTATCACGTACCCAAAGTACTTCACTTCTTCCATTACTATGGCACACTTTTCAGGGTTGATGGTAAACCCTCCTTTCCTCAGGGAATCCACCACAGCCTGGACTTTGGGAAGATGGGTCTCCCAGTCCGTGCTAAAGATGATGACAATGTCATCAATATAGACTGAGGTTGAAGAGTGGTGTCCATAGCCCTCTGGAAAGAGGCTGGGGCAGAGTGCAGCCCAAATGGCATTCTTTTGTACTGGAACTGGCCCTCAGGTGTGGAGAACACTGTTTTCTCTCTTGCCTCTTAGTCAAAGGTATCTGCCAGTACCCTTTGATAAGGTCTAGGGTGGTGATATACTGGGCTGGTCCCAACCTCTCTATCAGCTCATCTACCCATGGCATGAGGTAGATATTAAACTTCGACACCTCATTGAGCTTCTGGAAGTTATTACAGAATCACAGAGTACCATTGGGCATCGGTACCAACACTATCAAAGCTCACACAGCCCCCTGCTAGGTGAGGGCTACACCCTTAACATACCTCTCCTCCCAGATGAGGCCATTAATCCTTTGTCTCCCGGGGTGAGAGGTTGGAGATTCATAACATCCATTAACTCTTAAAGTCTCCAGACTCCAGGGACTCACAACAAACTAAAAAAAAAAATGCAGGAGAAACTGCTAACCAATTTCCCCTCTTGACTGCAATGGCTGAGAACCTCTCAAAAGCAACAAAAATAATGCCCCTCCATGACGCATCCTTGTCGCCTTCTACAATATACACTATATTCCCAAGAGTATTGGGACGCCTGCCTTTACACACATATGAACTTTAATGGCATCCCAGTCTTAGTCCGTAGGGTCCAATATTGAGTTGGCCCACTCTTTGCAGCTATAACAGCTGCAACTCTTCTGGGAAGGCTGTCCACAAGGTTTAGGAGTGTGTCTGTGGGAATGTTTGACCATTCTTCTAGAAGCGCATTTCTGAGGTCAGGCACTGATGTCGGACGAGAAGGCTTGGCTCGCTGTCTTCGCTCTAATTCGTCCCAAAGGTGTTCTATCGGGTTGAGGTCAGGACTCTGTGCAGGCCAGTCAAGTTCCTCCACCCCAAACTCGCTCATCCATGTCTTTATGGACCTAGCTTTGTGCACTGCTACACAGTCATGTTGGAATGGGAAGGGACCATCCCCAAATTTTTCCCACAAACTTGGGAGCATTAAATTGTCCAAAATGTCTTGGTATGCTGTAAGAGTTCCCTTCACTGGAACTAAGAGGCCAAGCCAAACCCCTGAAAAATAACCCCACACTATAATTCCCCCTCCACCAAACTTTACACTTGGCACAATGCAGTCAGGCAAGTACCGTTCTCCTGGCAACCGCCAAACCCAAACACGTCCATCGGATTGCCAAACAGAGAAGCATGATTCATCACTCCAGAGAACACGTCTCCACTGCTTTAGAGTCCAGTGGTGGCATGCTCTACACCACTGCATCTGACGCTTTGCATTGTGCCTGATGATGTGAGGCTTGGATGCAGCTGCTCAGCCATGGAAACCCATTCCGTAAAGCTCTCTATGCACTGTTGATGTGCTAATCTGAAGGCCACATGAAGTTTGAAGGTCTTTGGCTATTGACTCTGCAGACAGTTGGTGACTTCTGCGCACTGTGTGCGCTTCAGCATGCGCTGGCCCCACTCTGTCATTTTACGTAGACTACCACTTCGTGGCTGAGTTGTTGTTCCCAGTTGCTTCCATTTTGTTATAATATCACTAACAGTTGACTGTGGAATATTTAGTAACAAGAAAATTTCATGGATGGACTTATTGCACAGGTGGCAACCTATCACGGTACCATGCTTGAATTCACTGAGCTCTTGAGAGCGACCCTTTCTTTCACAAATGTTTGTAGAAGCAATAAAATAGAAAATATTAGAATAGAATAAAAAAGAATAGAATAGAATACAGCAGAAGAAAATAGAATAGAATAGAAAAAAATTATTAGCATAGAAAAGAACAGAGTAAAAACTAATAGAATAAAATAGAATAGAAAAGAGTAGAATAAAATGGAATAGAATAGAATAGAAAAGAATAGAATAGAATAGAAAAAATAGAATAGATAGAATGTAGCTGTCTTCTGAACTTTTAATTTAGAAAAGGATAGAATAAAACAGAATAGAAAAGAATACAGTAAACCAGAACAGAATTAAATAGAATAGAAAATAATAATATAGCCCCCTTCCAAAATTTTATTTTCAAAAATAATAGAATAAAAACAGATTGGGATAGAAAAAATAGAATAAAGTAGAACAGAATGGAATAGAATAGAAAATAAAAGAATAGAATAAAATTGAATAGAATAGAAAAAAAAGAACAGCGTTAAAAAGAATAGAATAGAATAAAACAGAATAAAAAATAAAGGAATAGAATAAAAAAAGGATAGACTAAAAAAGGAATAGAACAGAAAATAAAAGAATAGAAAAACAGAATAGAATAGAAAGAATATAACCATCTTCTGAAATTCAAATTTCGAATAGAATGGAACCACTTATTCTTCACAATGAATTCAGGTTGATTCGATGCTTCAAATCCATTGGAAACCTTTGAATCCAGTTGAAAACAAGTAAATAAAATTAAATGAAATTAATTTAATTACGAATTCAATGAAACAAAATTAGTAACCTATCCTAATTGAAAACTAATTTTTTTCATTCTGCACATCTAGAAATTAGGAGAAAAGACAATGTTCAAAAATTATTAATATTTTCCTTATTCTTTATAACTGTGGTTTTCATATTTGACCAACAGTTTTGCTGTAAAGTGTAATATAACTATGTTCAATGCTTTCAATATGGCACTACAAACTGTGAAATGTCCTTTGCTCTAATTACCTTGAAATTACAGAATGTGTTTTGTCATGATGTTGATTTTTGCTGCAGACTATTAAATAAAAAATTTTGAAAAACACACCATAAAATGCAACACACAGTTATAGCAACCTAACAGCCTAGTACATATCATAGTATTTTACTTGATGCCAGAGGCAACATGGTATGGGGCTACCCTGTAGAAGTAACTGGTTTCTTATTTTTTTCATTGACACTTGCAATTTCTTTAAAGCACAGTGCTTCCCCACAAGTGACTCCCACGTCAATGGAAGCCCCCTTAGTGTGAAATATTGTGCATTTATTTTATTTATTTTTTTGACAGATAGCCCAAGCTGGTCAAGAGTGTTGTCTAGAATGGAGTATATTTATCACCCAAACGTTTTCATTTCATTTTATCAGGTAGACTGATTGGCTCCCTATAATCTGGTTGTTTAGAAATAAACATGGTATTGATAAATAAATATGCCCTCTTACACCTAATTAACTACTTGCCCTCAAGAAGAACTACCCCCCTTCCTAACCAGGCCATTTTTGTGATACGGCGCTGTGTTACTTTAACTGACAATTGCATGGTCATGCAACACTGCACCCAAATGAAATTTATGCCTTTTTTCCTACAAGCAGAGCTGTCTTTTGGTGGTATTTGATCACCAATATTTTTTATTTTCTACTATAAAACATATCCAATAAAAAAAATATAAAAAATAAAATTTGAGCTAAAATGTATTCTACTACATGTTTTTGGTAAAACAAATGCCAATAAGCGTATATTGATTAGTTTGTGCAAAAAGTTATAGCATCTACAAACTATGGACGTATACTGGATTTTTTTTTCATTTTAATTTTTTATACTAGTAATGGCGGTGATCAGGGACTTATAGCGGAACTGCAATATTGCGGCTGACTTTTTTACACTAACTGACACTTTGTGGGAATCAGTTACACTAATACACTATCAGAGCTAAAAATATAAATTACTGTACTAATGACATTGGTTGGGAAGGGGTTAACATCTAGGGCAGGGGTCCTCAAACTACGGCCTGCGGGCCACATGCGGCCCGCCGAGGACATTTATCCGGCCCGTCGGGCAGGGGCGTATCTGCCGCGAGGCAAGGGACTAGGGTTTGGCAGATCGGGAGAGCTCGGCAGCGCTCAGGCAGGAGGGCAGGATCAGCAATTCTAGAACAGGGGAAGGTGGGCTCGGCTTATGAACCCGCACCACTCACCTGGCCTCTCTGCAGCCAGCCGGCCATCTATTCTGATCAGTGCATGCAACTGTCACGGCTGCAGGGCAGAGCCTAGAGCTGACCATGAAGAGGGGGAGCAAGAGAGGAGACTCCATCGCTGCATGTTGGGTATCACGGCCACGGACCCTAGATAAGTGCAATAGATGATCGATCTCCTCCCTCTCTCTTTCCCCCCTCTCTCCCTCTCTCACCCCCCTCCTCTCTCTCCCCCTTCCTCTCTCTCTCAGCCCCTCCTCTCTCTCCCTCCCTTCTCTCTCTCTCCCCTTCCTCTCTCTCTCTCCCCCTCCTCTCACCCCCCCCCCTCTCTCTCTCCCCTCCTCTCTCTCTCCCCCCCTCCCTCTCTCTCTCTCCCCCTCCCCACCTCCTCTTTCTCTCTCCACCTCCCCCTCTCTCTCCTCCTCCCCCCTCTCTCTCCCCCCACCCCCTCCTCTCTCTCTCCCTCCCCCCTCCTCTCTCTCCCCCCCTCCTCCTCTCTCTCTATCCCCCCTCCCCTCTCTCTCTCCCCTTCCTCTCTCTCTCTCCCCCCTCCTTATCTCTTTCCCCCCTCTCTTTTTTACATTGTACACAGATCTGACCCAATAAGGTGCCCTGCATTTACCGTATATTTCGCTCCATAAGACACACTTGGGGGGGAAATGTCTGTGCGTCTTATGGAGCGGCCAGCCCAGTATTCCCGCCGCCGTTGTATGTCCGCAGTCTCTGGTCATCTCCTGTACTATGCCCGCAGTCTCTGGTCATCTCCTGTACTATGCCTGCAGTCTCTGGTCGTCTCATGTACTATGTCCGCAGTCTCTAGTCATCTCCTGTACTATGTCCGCAGTCTCTGGTCATCTCCTGTACTATGTCCGCAGTCTCTGGTCATCTCCTATACTGTGTCCACAGTCTCTGGTCATCTCCTGTACTATGCCCGCAGTCTCTGGTCATCTCATGTACTATGTCCGCAGTTTCTGGTCATCTCCTGTACTGTGTCCGCATTTGTTCATAGTTTTTTTTTTTTTTAAACTATAGTCCGGCCCTCCAACGGTCTGAGGGACATTGAACGGACCCCCTGTTTAAAAAGTTTGAGGACCCCTGATCTAGGGTGAAGTATGTGTTTAGCTATGTGCTTGGTGTACACTAGATGTTCTGGTACAAGGGGAAGTGATGGATCATGTTCCTAGCTCTGCTCTGACACACGATCCATCACGTTCCCCTATCACAACAGAACATGTTTACATAGGCACAGCTCTGTTCTTCTTCCCTGCTCGGCAATCTGTGGGTGCCAGCGAAGAGCCGTTCCCCCGGGACTCGCATGATCACAGCAGAAGTGGCTCGCCAGTGGCACACTATTGCCCCCTACACCAGGAAGTGTACAATCACGTTTATATATGTGATTTTGCACAGAACAGCTGCCCTGTATCAGTAAATATGCTATCGTGAATCGGTTAATATACCTTCAATTTTTTTAGCATGTATTTACTGTCTTTTGCTCTCTTTTTTTTTTTAATGTCATCTTTATTGAACTTCATGAAAACCATTCACAACTGTTTATTTTTTTCTTGCACATGTGGCATGCCAATCAATAAAAGAAACATTGCTTCCACGCTTTTTTTTTTTTTTTTTTAAGCATAGTTTGTTTTTTTCTGAGTATTAAAGCCTATCTCTGGGGTAAGGGAAAATGCTCCCTTGCAGTAAAGCTGCAAGGTTTGAATGCTTGTTCAGGTATAGGGAACAAGGAAAGGCAGATTTATTTACCCGATCCACAACTACCTTGGCAGCTGGCACTCCCCTTTTCTCCCCTATGCTTCTGCAATGGACTGTCCCTCTACATTATCATGTCCAGTGTAAGGCTATGGGCTCTGCAATAGACTTGATGATATCAGAGGACTTGAGACCACTGGAGCAAAGGGAAGAAAAGGCTGTGGGAGAGGATTATCAGGAAAATAAAACTACTTTTTGCTTCCCTCTAGACCTAAACAAGCGTTTATACCTTGTAGCACAGGACATCCCATTACAAGGGACTATTTTTAAGTGTGATGGTACACGTACTAGGAAGAATATACCTACCTCGTTCCTGAGAACTGACCATATTCTATAGGTTCGATTTCAGTATTAATCCCTGATCACTTCTAAAGATGTCCAGCTGCTCATTAAAGCCCAAATCCAGAAAAATGTAAAAAAAAATCCATCCCTGCAGTGCCCCACCCCTCACATTACAAGAGTTAAATGCTCATTTAGTCTAGGGGTAGAGGATTAAGTACATAGCTTATTCCTGCAACTCCAACAGACTACCTACAGTGCTGCAACCAGTACCCAACAGCTACTCTGTAAGCTGCGACTGCCATCAATCACACTCCAGTCTCTTCAGCGTACAATACAGGGTTAATGATTCCGAGGTTCTGCCCACAGACTGGAGCTTTCGGCAGAGAAGGAGACCACTGGAGCAGGGTTTAACCTCCCTAGCGGTCTGATTATGTCCATATTTTTGTGCTCAAAGCGGTACATTTTTTTGCATGGAAATATGTCATTTTTTTATTGTAGGCCTGTAATTTTTAGGAATAACTCACTGAAATCTGTCCAAAACAAGAGTCTAGTAAACATCCCGGGTATGTTAAAATTTGGAACATGAAATCATAAATTATAAATTTAATAAATAATCATAAAAAATAATAATATAATAATAAATTTAATTCAATAATATAATCAAACCAAAAACACAAAATTTTGAAATATAGCGCCAAGTTCGCACATCACTGAGCAAAGTCGCAAAATCATTTTCAGTGTCTGATGACGAATTTCCCAACG